AACCAACAATAATAATAATATATGCAGCCCAACTCCAGGAAATTCTGGGCGATTTACAATTGTTAAAAATATTTAAAAACAAAGAACAATACAAAAAACACAAAAACAGCACAACAGACAAAAGAACGATAGCAAAGAAAACAAATCTAGAGGGGAAATAAAAGGAAGAAAGGGGTATCAAAGGCCTGGGCTAAGAGCCAGGTCTTTAAGGCTCCTCAAAATATCAATAGGGCGAGGGCCCAGGGGGAACCTCGTTCCAGAGGACAGGCACTGCTACAGAGAAGGTGCACTTCTGGGGTCCAGACAGATGGCATTATTTAACAGATGGGACCCGGAGCACGCCAACCCTGCCAGATCGAACTGGTCAGGTAGATACTATAGGAGACAGGGAGTCCCTCAAGTAACCAGGGCCTAAGCCATGTAAAAAGTATGTGTGTGCGTGCGTGTGTGTGCATGTGCGTATGGGCTCTCAGAACACTAGATTCAACATTTATGAATATAGCTAGACAGCAAACACTCACTTACCAGAAAATAAGCTGGTGAGGTTGCTCCCATACAATCCCTCAGTGCTTCCTAGATGCTTTTCTACCACCCTTTCTCTTTTTTCTGTTCAGGTACATGTATTCCAGGTACAGTATCATTTTTCCATTCAACTGGTAGGCTAAAGTGCCAAGAAGTTGGGCATTTTTTTTAATAATAATTTTTATTAAAGTTTAAAAATACAGAGATAAAAAACTAATACAAACTAAGAAAAATAATAATAATTTTTATTAAAGTTTAAAAATACAGAGATAAAAAACTAATACAAACTAAGAAAAATAATAATAATTTTTATTAAAGTTTAAAAATACAGAGATAAAAAACTAATACAAACTAAGAAAAATATAAAAAGAAAAAAAGAAAGAATAAAAAGTGCAAAGAGAAAAAAAAGAAAAAAGGGGGGAGGAAAAAGAAAAAAATGTATGAAGAAAAAATATATAAAGAAATGGCTTTCCCCTTCATCAAGACAAGTACAAACAATTTCAGTAACTTATCACGTTCTCTAATATTTCAACCAAAGTTCTCTTTACCCCATATCTCATCTTTTATCTATTAATAAATAATAAAACCTCATCATTCAATCTTAATCAGAAAAAGTCCATTAAGAGTTACCAGAAATAATATATATAACATTAAACAAGTAAATCAATTTCATTTCATTTTCCTTCCTTTACACAGTAACTTATCATTTTCTCTAAAAATACAACAAAAAATCTTTTTCCCATATTTTATCTTATATCTATAAGCAAACCTATAAAAACTCATTGTTCAAACTTAATAAAAAAAAATCCATTAAGAGCTACCAGAAAATCTTAATCTTTAATCCCTTCACATAA